TAATCTTAAACACACGTCTTGCCTTGCACCTGATGAACAGCTAAACAAAAATTCACCGGTGAAAAGTGGACTACTTATGTTGGTTTTGAAGGATATTAGCTGCTTAGCTGCAGGTCTTTAAACAGCATGTAAAAGTAAATGTAAATCTCACTTCAGTCTGGTTAGATGTTGGTGTGGTACTTACCCTTCAATACCACTAACAACACACTGTCTTCCCATGACATGAAGGCCACGGCACAAGTTTGTTTACTTTGTCTCTTGTTCCCTACAGTGTAACATTGGCACATTGGCAGTCTGCCAGCTGCTGCCAATCAAACACAGATACGCCTCTACAGCCGGCTGAGACGAAAAAGCATTAATGATATTTTGTGTTCTTTCAAATAATAAAAAACTATTAACACATTTAAAAACACTAACTGTTGAAAATATACTATTATATTCCTCCTGAGCAAACTAGTTTTACCTGGCTACCTTTACCTGACCTCTGCAAGATTCCCAACATAAAGTGACAATGAAACCGCCCATCCATTTAAATGGCTACAAATCAGGGTAGTTGCCATTGAATAAGAATCTAACCTTTCTATATTTGATTATATTTGGTCATTTGCAGATGTAAATGTTTCATTTTAGCTGATAGTTCAGAGTATAAACTTGAAAGAAACAAAAGTTAGTGCTTGGGGTCTTATAAACCTGAAACAAATCTCAAAATTCACAGCAACTGCTGATAATAAAAAGAATGCATTCCAAAATCCTGAAAAGACAGATACTCAAATGATGAGTGGGTAGCACATTACACAGCTCATAAAACTAAAGAGTGAAAATGAAAATAAATGAAATCCTGAACTTGTGCAGAAAATAAAACTAATTTGAGGAAGGGGGGCTGAAATTACTGCATTTTTTGTTATAATTGTTATTATCATCATTAATATTGTTAGAGCCATCAATAAATGAAACAACATGAGGCTCAGACATTGGAAGCTGGCTTAGTTGAATTCTGCCTTCAAGGAAAACTAATTAGGGACTCCTGATGAATACATACAGTATGTGTAGTGGAGGATAAAAGTCAGGAAATCATGCAGTATGTTCAGATAATAAACCATGGCAAAATACACTTATAATTTGAACTGAAAAAAGTAGATAGTGTAGACTTTGTAAAACTATAAATTAACTCACCAGACTTACCATACAATAGTTGCATGTGGATTTGGTGCACCTTGATTTGCTGCTACAGTTCAGCTAAAGTCAGAATTTGCTGCTGAGCATCATGGGAATTAGGGTGTTGCCCTTGCTTGCATAGCAAAAACACTGTGAGGAAGACACCACTGTTGGTTCATCATTACTCTTTTCCCTTCTTTCTCTTCTCGTCTAGCTCACTTGGGTTTCTCAGCCTCTGTAGAACCAGACATAGCTAATTAATCCCTGACACTGAGCTGAGCGTGGGGAGATGGTTTGGGACAGCACCATGCAAAGTGGAATCCACCACATCCAAATGAGGCCTGACAGGTGACTGTGTCCCCAATGCAAGCCACTGCATGCATGCTGGAACCAGCCACAAGGGGCATTTGTTTAGGACATCACAAACAGCATTTGCTGACTGCTCCTTTTCCTAATTGGTATGGAATTTAAAGGAACCATCCTGGTTGTGTCATTGCTAATTATACTTTAGCCCTCGCTGCATCTTGTTGTCACTTTTCTTCTTTGTTATGGAAAGCCTGGAGAGAGGGACAGATTGCAAGCAACAGTCTATGTTGGGTTAGTTAAAAGATGAGAAGGCTCTAAAAAAGCCAAAGTTAATTGTTGTCTCAAATCGCAGGCTCAGCACGCCTGGCACAGGCGAGCCTCCATAATGAAAGCTGTATGAACACGAGATAAATTGGAGGGCTTTCTAATTTGGTAGTGTGGAAACAAATGGTTTGCTTCCTCTTGTACACAATCATTCTCTGTCATTTTTTGTAGCTATCTCTCTTAGTGTGTATTTTGACCATTTCTTTCTCACAGAAACTGTTGCTCTTTGCGTGTGTGTGTCTCTCTGTTCCTCCTCTCCTTTCCCTTGCTCCCTCTGCTGATTGCTATTCGTGCTTTGGAGCCAGCCTGAGCCCTAGAGCTCAAAGAGTTCAGTATCTGTTGTCTACAGTGGTGAGAGGAGGAATGAGGAAGCTGCAGTGGAAGAGTAGAAATGTGAAGGAAGAGAACCCTGAAATTCAGTACAACAGTCAACAGAAATGCCAGTGTATTCATCTAATTTGATCATTTCCAGGAGAATAAACGTCTCTGTGCTCTTATCTATCGGAAACATGAGGTGCTACCATGATAACACTGTTTGTAAGCTACCATTCTTAATGTAAATCTCTATCACATATATGATTTTTATCAAATAATATGTGTCACTCTTTTTGTGTCATTTTCATTTCACTGTACAGGCTCATTAGTGTGCTTTGTCTCTGCTATTCAAGTTTACATGAAACTGAAATCAGAGTGCTTGTTTCTAGGGAGGAACTTGTTGCAATAGTAGTCAATAGCTCTGAATGTATACGTCCCCTTGTCAAGCAGCTATTAGCTGATCCTGTCAGACTGGGAGCTCCCAGCATGGCCAGTTTGACGACAGGGAATACAGTGTCATGGTTGTTTGG